CCCCAAAACCCCAAAACCCCAAAACCCCAAAACCCCGATAATTATATGCAAATTTGATAATTTTACCGCAAAAATGGAAGCTACAAATCTTAAAAGAACTGCAGAGAACATGGACCAAGGCCATAACGGTGCTAAAAGAGTCAAGATTAGTGAAGAAGAGGAGATAAAAGCTACACCAGAAGAGAGAAAAGAATATGGAGGTCTTGAATGTCCCCTTGGTGATGTTATCAAAGTGTCGTATGTCAGATCAGAGGAAGAGTTGAATAGCCTTGAGGAACTTAAGGCATATCCTGTCTCTTTTCCTGAAAATTTACTCCAAGCTGAGGTCCTGAAAGGGATAAAGACTCCTCAGATAAGATTGTATTTCACTCCGGTCAAGCTGAGAGCATACTGCAGTTATACCTATGAAAGGAGAGCTCCATCTTATGATGAACCTGATTTAAAAATTAAAGAACATTTCAGTGCTGGAGAAGAGGAAGAATCAGACTCCTTTTTCACTCAGGACCTTGATGAATTCAAAATTTGGGTGACTGAAGAAATGAAGCCTTTTGAGATAAAACACGAAATTGTAGAAAGCTTCACTGGTAAAGATGGAGAAATTTTTGAAATAATCAAATTTGATAGAAAGGAGAAGGATTTTGAAAAAGGATACAATCTTCCCTACCAGTGCCATCTTTTTATCGAAATCGATAACGCCTCTGTGATCGAAGATGATCCATACTGGAGGTACTATTGACTCTTTGAGGTTAAAGGAGATAGCAAAATTCTTGCAGGATTTACCACGATTTACAAATCATTTCAAAATCTTAACAAATTCAGGACAAGAATCAGCCAATTTATCATCTTTCCAGATTACCAAAGGAAGGGACTGGCTTATAAGCTTCATGACATGGTATACAAGAGGTACATGGAAAGTCCAGATTGCTTCCAGATTACAATGGAGTCTCCAACTCCAGTGATGAGTAAGATCTACAATAGATGTGTTCTTGAGTACCTTCTAAAGAATGGACATTTGGATAAACTGCTTACCTCAGACAAGAAAGATTTTATTAAAGTTGACCAGACTAATATCCTCAAGGTCCTCTCTAGAAGTATGGCTGAGATGGAAACAATGGGAGACTGAGCCAAATGTGAAACAATCTGCTGTTCAAGAATCTATGAATTTTTAGTAACTAACATGATCGAAGAAAGTGACTCAAAAACTCATGAGATCCTAAGAAAATATGTTAAGAAAAGGTATCAAAATGTTTAATGTTTAGGTTCTATATCGAATTTCACCAAGATTTAATGCCGAACCAGAGGTTTATAAGACTCAAGAAAAGTGAGAAGTATGCTACATGCGCCTAACTCAATTATAGTCGCCTGAAGGCTCCGTACTGAATTTGCTATGAAGAAGATGGAGAAGGAGAGGTGATCACTATCAACCAAGATGCAACAAAGATGCTAATAGAAGAGGAAACTATTAAAATGAAGTTAGAACTGTTTTTCAATGGTAAGATTGTTCATAACTTCTTTAGCCTTTATGGAGCAAGCCAACGAACTTCAGCAATATAAGAGACTGCTATTGGAATAAAATATTCAATCTTCAAGTGCATAATTGGGGTTTTGGGGTTTTGGGGTTTTGGGGTTTTGGGG